CCTGGCTAGGCTGCAGTGGGCCCTCCTGGCCTTAAACCCCAGCCCAGCCCTCTCTCCTGCTCAGGGGGCTCGGGTGGGCGGGAGGGTCCTCTGTCCACTCTTGGGCCTCCAGGGGAGAGGGGGAAGGTGTAACATATGGAGTCTTTTGGTTTCCTTTTGAATCCTCCTCTTCTGCTTGTCCTGCTCCACCACCTTCTTCTTTGTAAATAGAAGACAAAAAGAGTTCGTTTGTTTTTCCGTTCCTTTTCCTGGTTTCTTTACACGCACCCAGGTAGGTTTCTTGGGTGGGAAGGTTTTAAAACACCCCCCGTTTGTGCTCCTGATTTTTTTTTGTGGACTCAGGTTTGAAACCTCGGTTGATTTTTTTTTTGTGTTGGGGGGGGATCTGAGAAGGCCAAAGGGGGTAACCCCCCTTTTTTGTTTTAATATTTGCAGAGGTGCACATGGCAGTTTTCGACTGTAAATAAAGAGATATAAACCTTTTCACAGTTTCTACAGCGGCTTCGGCTTTTATTGATTGGGGGGGATGGGGGATGGAGAATAAGCAAGTAGACTGCCCTGGCATGGGAGTGTTACTTCCGGTCGCGCAAGCGCCCTGGAACGGCATGGTGCGCAGGCTTCTGCCCAAGTGACGCGGAAGAAGGCAGCCACTTCCGGCGGCGTCTCCCGCTCACCACTGACTGGGCCACGTGACCCTGCAAGAGCGAGAGAGGGCGGTTGGACGGCCATCGGGGACATGGTCTTGCGTGATGACGTAGCGGGCGGTGAGATGATTTTGGAGGGAGGGGGAAATGGACTGCGTGTGACGCATGCGCGGTAAAGAAAAAGGCGGTGTGATTCATTTGCGTCGGAGTTAGGGCAAATGGATGCCTTGAGGGGGCGAAGTCGGATATTTGACGCATGCGCACCGAGAGATAGCTGTGGGGCGACTCTCCGGGGCGGAGCGCTGCCTGAGCGCATGTGCGCCAGAGGGTGAGACGGAGGGGAGGGCTGAGTCGTGTAATTGGAGATAAGACGATTCTCCGGGGCGGAGTGTTGCTTGTGAAGCATGCGCCCTGCAACGAGGGAAAGGCGAAAGCGGCACGCCTATGAAGCATGCGCGCTAGAGGGGGTGGGGGAAAGAGGGAGGGCGGCAGGATGATTCCCGGGAGGCGGGGTTCTGAACGTGACGCACGCGCGCTAGAAAGCGCTCCTCTCGGCGGCGAATATGACGCATGCGCTCCGAAGAGAGGGTGGTGGCGCGCCGCTCCGTTGGGCGGAGTCGTGCGCGGTGACGCATGCGCGCCGGGAGGGAGCGAAAGCGTTCTCGTGCGCCGCTCGGGGGGAAGGGCGTGGCCTTGCGTGATGACGTCTGGCGCACGGGAGGGAGGGAGGAAAAAGGGAGGCGGGCTGCCGCCCTTTCTCCGCCGCCGCGAGACCCGAGAGGTTCCTGCCCCTTCCCCGCGGGCCGCCCCCCTTCCGGAGTCGCCATGGCGACGGCGGGCGGGGCCCCCCGGGCGGCCGAGACGAAGGTGATCTACCACCTGGACGAGGAGGAGACGCCCTACCTGGTCGAGATCGCCGTGCCGGCCGAGCGCCTCACCCTCGGCCACGTCAAGGCGGCCCTAGCCGGGCCCGGCGCCAAGTACTTCTTCAAGAGCATGGACCAGGACTTCGGCTGGCCCCGCCCCCTCCCTCGCCCGCGGGCCCGTCTTTTGGACCTCGAGGGGAACCCGGAGGCCCGGCTTTCCATTGGGGGGGGGGGGGGAGGCCCTGCTTTACGAAGTGGGGAGGGGGGAAATAGACGCCCCGGAGCAGCCATGGAACCCATGCACCATCCCGCCCCCCACGCAAGAGCTCCTCCCCATGGGCCTGTTTTCTGGACCTCGAGGAGACCCCAGTTGGAGATGGGGGTGGGCATGAGGCCCTCTTTTTTCGGTCTCTCTGGACTCCTCAGGGGTTGGGAGCCCATGCATCCCTCCCCAAGGAGAGGACGGAGAGGTTAAAGCCTCCCCCACCCCAGGGCCCATCTTCTGGACCTTCGAAGGGACCCTCATGGGAAAGAGGGAACAAGATCCTCTTTTATGCCTCTCTAGAAATAGGGGGGGATCATGCGAAGTTTTGGGGGGGCTATGGAAAAAACCCCTCCCCAGCACATTAGGCTGGCGAGAGCCCCCATGAAGCCCGTCTTCTGGATCTTGAGGAACCCCAGCAGTATCCTTTTCTTTCTCTCCCCCCTCCCCCCCAAAATTCCCTTTCTTTGCAGGGTGGTGAAGGAGGAGATCACCAAGGACAGCGCTCTCCTGCCCTGCTTCAATGGAAGAGTTGTCTCCTGGGTACGCCAGCCCCTTGCCCTCCCTGCCGGGTATGAGGGTCTCGGGGGTACTCTGCAGCGGAGCCTTCTGGGCCCTCGAAGTCTGGGATATGGGGGGGGGGCGGTCTTATCTATTCTGAGCTGACTTAAATGGAGAGGGGAGACAGCCTGATCCAGCAGGAGGGAAGGGAGGGGAAGGGCCAGAGGGAAACCTTCACCACCCCACCTCTCTCTCTCCCCCTCCCCTTTCCCCCCCACCCAGCTGGTGTCTTCGGAGGTCCTCCCATCCGAGCCGCCACCGCCCGCTCCTCCCGCTCTAGGCGAGGTCTGTCCGGAGCCTTCTCCTCCACCTCCTCCTCCGTTGCCAGTAGAAAAGTCCAGCGGCATCGGCAAATCCCGCCCTCCTTCCTTCCAGTGAGTAGGAATGGCTGGTGTGTTTGTGTGTTTCTTCATGGTGGGGTTAAAAAGGGGGACTAACCCAGCCTAGGACAGCTGTTAAGTTCAGGGGTGGTGTAATTTTTTGGGGGGGGCGGCTAACAAGGAAAATCTGAGCTAACTTTCTTCAGAAGTACTTTAGTTTTTGTTGCTTTTATTTATTGTTAGATTTTTATCCTCCATGTATTGCTTTATAAGGAACTCAAGGTGTGGCAAATATATTTAATGCTGCTTCTTCTATTTTCTCCCCCCCAAAAAACAGCTGGGTTTTTTGGGGAACTAGAACTGGTGATTGGCCCAAAGTCACCCAGCCAGCATTCATGCCTGAGGTGGGACTACAACTCACCATCTCCCAGTTTCCACTCCAGCCCCTTCACCCCTATACCCAACAGGTTTCCTCCGCAGCCCAAACCTCTCAGGCAGCTGCGAGAACTTGGACCACGAAACCGAGTCCATCGTGTCGCTGCGGAGAGAGCGGCCACGGCGCCAGGAGACCACGAAGCACGGAGGTAAACCACCCCTCTCCGAAATCTTCCGGCCCTTTCCTTGGGGGAGGGCAGGTGGGGAGGCCCAGTCCCAGCGGGGCGGATTGCTCTGACGCCCTCCTCCCCTTCCGACTCGGGCACTGGATCAACGGGCAATCCCGGCTGAAGCGCCACCTGGCCAGCTACAAGAGCTCCTCCACGCTGCTCACCAGCGAGCTGGAGACCACCAGCCTCTGTGACTCGGATGATGATGATGAGCCGGTGAGCGCCGGAAAGCAGGTGGGAACGGCTGAAAACATTTGCAAATTCTTGATTTCCTTCCAAATCTTCTGGGCTCTGGGGTGGATAGATGCACGGGAGTCCAGGAAGCTTTGTTCCGTACCTTGGCTCTGTTGTCTTCCCACTGGGATTGGGCCCCCCTCCCCCCATGCCAGTACTGTTCTGACCCAGGCTTCCTAGACCATAATTACGCACACGCTTATTTTAAAAACAAGTTCTATTTTATTGCAATCCTGGGAATTGTTTTCATTTGCAGCTGGAATTAATCTCAAATAGTCCGTCAAGATAAGCAACCACCTTTCCTGTGAAGTGCTGCCAATAAGAGAAGTGTCCAATGAACTAGAAAAAAATGACCAAGTTTCGAGAACCGAACGAATGACTTTGCTTCCTGCAAAGGTTTCATCACCTTGGCCTGACTTTTATCCCTTATGGGAGGGGTAATCGCTTCCCAGCCTTACTCCCGAGTCACCCCTTTTGCCTCAGCTGCGCTCACCTTCTGGCAGCTCTGCACACACGCGCACTGGGAACAGGCTCCCCTTGTTCCTTGGCCTTGCTGCTGCCAGACTCCAGAGGCTCCTGAGTCAGCACCCCACTCCCAGATGGTCCTGGCCCCATCTCTGCATCGGATGCAGGACCCTCATCCGAGTCCTCGCCAGACTCCTGGACTGATCCCCTTTCTTCCCCACTGTCCGATTCTGCTGCCGTCTGTACTGGCTGCAAGCGAACCACAACAGGCATAGGAGCCATGCCAAGTGCCCCATCGGGCAGGGTATTCTGGCTGGTGGGCTCCAGGAGAAGGACGTTCTCTCTGCTGTTGCTCCTTCCCTTTGGAACATCTCCCCCCCGCCATGTGAGGGGGGCTCCACCCTGCTGACCTTTCACGAGAGCCTTCAGATTTCACATTGGGGGGGAGAGTGGTTAAAACAGAACATCAGAGTTGGAAGGGACCTTGGAGGTCTTCTAGCCCAGGGGTCGCCAACCTTTTGGACCTCCGGGAACTCATAATTTTAAATCCCACGGACCAGAGACCCTGAGAAAATCCCCAAAAAAGTCCGCAGGAAAATTACCCACCCTGTTTTCCTACTGATTGATCATTCTTTATTTGGGATGACAGGATACCGTCTCCAGCTCCGTTCTCAGGGAGAGGGGAGAAAGAGACTTTTGGCTTCATGCAAGGAAAGCAGCAGAAGTCTTTCTCTCCCCCAAACTCCTCCAGAAAGGAGTCTCTGTGGGACTTGTACTGGCGCAGCCTCTTGGAGCAGGAGACCTTGCAGGGTCCCAAAGACTCATTTCTGGTGGAGTTTGGGGGAGAGAAAGAAAGACTTTGGCTTCTTTCGTTGCGTTTAGCCAAAAGCAGAAGAAGAAAGAAGCGGAGAGAAACAGCCCAGTGGCCAGGCCAGGTGCATGGCCTCGTGTCCGCCCTTTCCCCCCTCCGCTCACTACCTCGTGTTTTTCACAATGCAAGCGACGCAAGCCTTGTGTTCCCACGCAGCCTGGATTAATTGCTTTTTGCGGGGGGGGGGGGGGGACCCAGCCCACCAGTTGGCGACCACTGTTCTAGTCCAACCCCTAGCTCAAAGCAGGAGTCCCTACACCAAGGCTCGGCAACCTTAAACACTCAGAGTCACAAAGGCCCTAGCCGGAAGCCCCCCACCCCTTTCAATTCTGGAGCTGACCAAACTCCATGGCAATTCCCCCAACCATAGAGTCTCCAAGTGTGGCATCCTTTTTCCTTTACCTGTCCTAACCAAAATTGTGGAGCAGACCAGCAACAGGGAGCTGCAGCAGAAGGAAAGACCTACATGCGGCTCTAGAGCCGAGGGTTGCTTACCCTTGCCTTATACCATCCTAGACAAATCTCTTATTTAAAAGCTCCACTGTTGGAGCACCCACAACTTCTGGTGGCAAGTAGTGCCACTGGTTAATTGTCCCCACTGTTAGGTAGTTTTTCCTTAGTTCTCCTTATTTGCTCCTTGTCCTGCCTTCTGTGCTTTGGAGAATAGCTTGACCGCTTCCTCTTCTTTGGGGCAACCCCTCAAATATTGGAAGACTGCTATCATGTGGCCCCCCCCCCCTAGTCCTTCTTGACAGGTTGATAGATTAATAACAGATTCAACCACCACTCTGCTCATCCTACTCCCCCCCCCCCAACTTTTAGTTAGGGCTGAGTTATTTGGATCTTGATAGTGTTTTGCGTATAGCTTTTCACGGGCCGTCCTTAGTTTAGAACCATTCGTTTAATGACAGTTTGAAAAAAGTACCTTAGGACTTAGGACTGTCGCAGTTATTCACGTGATCCAAATTCGGGCCATTCGGCAACCGACTCGTATTTACGACGGTCGCAGCATCCGAGGGCTCGCGTGACAAATCCCTGGGGAAGCCACATTCCCTCAACGACCGTGTGACTCGCTGGCGTGGCCAGAAAGGCCATTCAAATGGGGGCAAAACTGGCTTCGGTGGTCTCACTCGGCGGCAGAAATGTAGGGCTCCATTGCCGTCGTAAGCCAAGGTCCACTTGCAGTGGCGTAGGGTGGTGGTTGCGGAAAGGCATCGCTGGGTGGTGCCCTTTCCCAGACGGGGGGCCTCCCTCGTGCCCTTCGCTCCTGTGAGCCCTTTGCCCATTTTCCCTTGGCAGGTTTAGCAGTTCCACGGTGCAGAGCAGCGCCTCGTGCCTTCTCAAATGCCACTGTTGGAGGAGGAAGCAGCACCCACCGCATCTTGAACGGGTAGGGGTCAAAGAGCCAGGTCTCAGTATCTGGGATCTAGAGGGCCTCTTCTCATCAGGCAGCCAAAGGGCCAGGATGGTACCAAGTTCCCCCTTAAATAAGACCCTGTCTTATATTTTGTTTGCCATCAAAACAAGGCACCAGGTCTTATTTTCAGGGGATGTCCACAGACTAACCTCACTTGCGCGCGTCGTCACCGTCTGCCTTCCGGAAGTCGTCCTCCTGCGCCTGGCAAGGCTTTCTGGAAGGCCTCTGCAGCCGATAACTCTGGATCGATCCGGAGCTTTAGTATCAGCTCCAGAGGCCTTCAAGAAAGCCTTGGCAGCTGTAGAAGAAATGGGCTGGCAAGGCAGGTGTCGGGGTGCAAGGCCTGGCCACACCTGTCCAACAGTAAGTAGTAGGGCAGCTCCACCCCCGCATCCCCACCCTAGTTTAATTTTTACCCATGCACTCTGGAGTGGGTGGGAATCTTAATTAGGGCTTATTTTGGGGGTAGGGCTTATATTGGGAGCATGTGTAAAAAATCAAGCTAGGACTTACTTTCAGGGTAGGTTGTATTTTCAGGGAAACAGGCTACATTTTTTGTGCTTCATAAACGTCCTGTTGTCTGGGTATCCATTCGAGGGTGGGAATCTTCATTAGGGCTTATTTTGAGGGTAGGGCTTATATTGGGTGCATGTGTAAAAAAA